GCCAAAGCCAGCTGGAAATAAGAGGATATTTTGCTCAAAATATCAAGGGTATGTGGTGGTAAGAAAGTGGTAGACAAGTGGTGGGTTCAATCGGTAGTACACGGTACACGTCGGTTTGCACCGTTTTTCCTTAAATCACACGTACTAGGGTTTTTTACTTCCTATTCACTAACTTTTTATCATTTCTTCTAATCACATATTATTTCTCACCCAAAAGTCACTTTTAAGCACCAAATTTGATCCTCGCTCCGTACCGGATGATTACACGACGGATACACGAAAAACCCTATTTCACTTCGAATTGAAATCGGAAAGGAAACCCTAATTTCCTATGATTATTGGCACTTTTTCTAGGGTGATTGAGTAGTAAGATGGTATAGAATAGTATTTTCCAAATAATTTTCAAATAAAAGAAAATTTTCAAGAAATATATAAGGAATTTGCGAGTCCTCACACTCATCCTTTCGGGGCGTCACACAAGGCATCATGGCTTATACTTCGAAAAGGTTTCTTAGGCAGTTAGAACGCATTCAAGGATCGCCACCCATACCTAATTTGATCGAATTCACTATCAATTTCGATAAGAAAATCTATCCGAACTAAATTCCAATGAAGATATCAATTATTGAATCTTGGGAAACATTATCTGATGATGAGCATATTGCCTATATTCTAGTCATTAAACAGATGGCTTTTATCACTTCACAATATAAAGATTGGTTCAGAGATTTTGGTGCACCAAGACCGCAAGCAGAGCAATTTGAAGAGGTTAAAAGCCTGATGGCTATCATTGAGGCAAAGGTTAGAGAAACTTTGTAATTGAAGCAATTCGTGGAGGCTAACAAGGATTTGGCAGAGAAAAGTAAGAGATCATGCGAAGAAATACGAAAAAATACTAAGAATTGAAAAGAAAATGTGGTGAATTATATAATCAAACTGAACGCATGAGAAATCCCTATTTTAGAGAGTTAAAAGATGCTGTAATAGATAAGTTGAAGAAATTTAATGACTTTGTAAGAAATCGCTTTCGAGAAATGATGTAGATAATGTACATGGGTTTCACAACTTTGGTAATAAAATGACTTTTCTCTTCTTGGAAAGTTCCTATTGAAAAACAGGTTTGATGAACATCTCACGCAAAAGTGTTACATCATATTAGGCTGATCCTTGGCGTAAAAAGGGCACCCCTCATAGGATATACATTCGAATTATTTAAAGATTTACTAACTCATATCTTTTTCTTTTCTTTTGAATAAATTACAACAGTTTAATTAAAGAACAAACTTCTAAATAGATATCTCTTCTACATACAGTTACTTCGAAACATAGTTACCCATAGAAATCCCATCATTACAAGATCCCACAACAAAATCTTGAAAAACCATGTAAACATGAGTTCATACTCGAAATCTTCAGAAAGATCAGCAATAGTTACGTCATCAGATGCTGCAACTTTGGGGACTTAATTGCATGAGATGCTGAGCAAATTCAATGAATTAAGCATGAAAATGGCAGCACAAAAGTGCATAATTGATCAACTTGTTTCGAATAGCAGCGGTGGTGTTCAGAATGACCAAATCCCTATTGGCGGTAATCAACCTAAGTCAGATATCCATCCACCCCACACATCCAACATTCAAGCCATATTTGTCCCACCTTTTTTAAATCCACTTGAGGGTGCCTTCACTTATCTCAACCCTATTTTCAACAAACACATCCAAGTAATACCTTGATTTACCTGACTAACAATCAAATTTTTCAAAATTATCCACAGATCAATCCAAATATCCCACCCCATCCTCAAGGACCAACCCCCCACCACAGAACCATTCATGTTGGATACCGTCTCTCAAGGAAAGGCGGGAATGGATGAACACTCTACTTTGATTGACAAAATTTTGTTGAAGAGATTGAACTGATTTGATGCGTTCATGAAGAACAATTAATGATTGAACAAGTATAGAAGATTGGATTATAATAAGTTGTGCCTTTTTCCAGACATACAACTGCCTTTGGATTTTAAAACTCCAAAATTTAATAAGTATGATGAAATTGAGAATTCCAAGATTCATCTTAAAATATTTGCCAACATACTTGGTAAACCAATAGATGAAGAGAACTTGCTAGTGCGACTATTTCCTGAAAATTTGAAAGGCGATACTCTGGATTAGTATTCTAATTTGAAACCTGAAAAAATAAAGATTTGGTTGGATTTATCAACAACTTTTGTAAGACAATATGAGTATAATTGTGAGTTTGCACCTACGTGAACAATGCTGGAAGGAACCAAGAGGAAACCCTTCGAGGATCATAAAATCTATGCGAAATGATAGAGTAAATTGGCTGCTAAGAGTCTCTTATGACTGAGGAGGAGATTGTCCACACTTTTATCAAGACCTATGATCCACCGTATTTTGAAGAGATTTTTCGCATGACTGGAAGTTCGTTTGCAGCTATTGTCAAGAAACTTGAAGAATATGATAAGTTTGTGAAAGTAGAAAAAATTATTAATATGCCACCTAAAAGTACAGTTGGAAGCCCTGGAAAACTAAAACAATTGTGGAAAGAAACTCCAATTTAAGAAAAAAGGAGAAGCTATTTTTGTGTGTGATCAAGACCCCTCTTTTAGACCAAAATTTCAAAACTACCCTACATACTCATCTTCTTATCTATACTACTCAAACCCCCGACTGTTTATCATACCACTGTCAACCCTTCTCGTCCTTGACCAAACTACATAAATATACCCACACTGTTTAAAATTTTTCAACTTATCTTACAAAGTCGTTCTCCCCTATCTACAACCCAAAACTAGCTCCCCCGCATAACCTAACCCATGATTCTTCCCAAATTAGTAGAACCCAAATCCAAAACCAATTTCGAATTTTCACCAATTTAAACTAACCTATAGACCAACTGTACGAAAAATTTAAGGTTGCTAGTAAGATTGGTGTTATACCTCCCAAGATTTATCCGAGAGGCTTTTCTGTTGGCTACGATCCTCAGGCTATTTGCGCTTATCATTCTAGAAGTTTCGGTCATTCAATCGTCAATTGTTAGGTTTTGAAGTATAAAATCCAAGATATGATTGATGCTGGAGATATAATTTTAAAAAGAAAAGATGAGCAAGGGCCGAATATTAACAAAAATTCTCTCCCTGAGCATAAAGGTACTGTTAGAGCCATCACCCTTGATGAGGAGTTTGAAGAGTGTGCTCAATATATTACAGATGAAGTCAAAATAATTAGCATAACTGAGAAGCCATTCGTGCTAGAAGAGAAACCTCTAAAGTTAGGAACACCAAAGAACCTTTCATCTTAGCCTTACCGCTTTTTGAATGAGAGTTATCAGAGCCTGCTGTATTTGAATTTTTAGAGAAATCACCTATCCATAATCTACAAGAAGTGTCGTTGAATTATAGTGAGCCCACCATATTGATTGGAAATAAGGAGATGTCGAAAGAGAAGGTTGCTGCTATCACTAGATCTAAAAGAATTGTGACCGATTCTAAAGTTCATACTCAATCAAAAGCCAAAGAGAATGTCCCATCACCAAAAATGTTTGTGACTGGAAGGGAAACGCTGAATTTCTTGAAACTGCTGAAGAGAAATAAGTACAAGATTATAGAACAGTTGGATAAAATGTCTGCTCAAGTCTCTATTTTGAATCTGCTTTTGACTTCCGAACCACATAGAGAGGTATTGTTTAAGATCTTGAGTGAAACTCAAGTACCTAAGAGCATGCCTGTTAAAAAATTCTTCCATGTCATTGAAAATGTTCTAGATTCCAATCACATCACCTTTTCTGATGATGACTTGACTCCAGAGAGGATCGGACATAATAAACCATTTATATATCAGTATATTGTAATGAAAAGTTGCTACTCAGGGTCTTGATAGATAATAGTTTAGTTTTAAACATCTGTCCGTAAAATACTCTTATGAAATTGAGATTTCTTGATGCTAGACTTTATCTATTGACAACGATAGTAAGAGGATTTGACAATGCAAGAAGGGAGTCTATGGACAAAATTGACCTAGTGCTAGAGATTGGACTTGCTCAATTTCAAATCACTTGCCAAGTTATGAACTTTTCAAATATGTACAATCTCTTGCTTAGACAGGCCTGGATTCACGCTTTTAACTCGATACCATTCTCTCTCCATCAGATATTGAGATTTATTGTGACTATCCAACTGATCACTGTGTTCGCTGAACATGACTGTACTATGATCGTTAATTCTGGATCAAAAGGAAAAGTAGCAGAAGAACTTTAGTTTCTCCTCATCATGTTGCTGACACTATTTCAGTGGGATGGACATCTAAAGAGAAGCCATTCGTGAAGTCGAATCTGTCAGAAGCTAGCATTATGATGGTCAAAGAAATGATTCGAGGAAGGTACGAGATAAGCAAAGGTCTTGGACAAAATTTATAAGGAATCTTGGAACCAATAGAACTTTCGGTGCAAAAGGATGCATTTGGATTAGAATTTCAACCGACTGCAAAGGATAAAAGGGAGATGCAAACTCGCAAGAAAACAGAAAAAAAAAAGAAAGAAAATTGTCATGAGTATCTCATCACTGCATTAGACTTCTTCTCGTCCGTCGAGGGTAATCATATCTGAATTCGATGAAGAGAATTTGATCAATGAAATTGAAGAGAATTTATCCCAGTTGTTCGTTGGAGTTATTTATGAAGATGAGTCATCTGAAGGTCTGGGGTTCTCAACAATTTTTGAAAGAGCTATACAAAATCGGATTGCTAACTATCTTCCCTTTCGAAGGAAATTTCGATAAATTTAGGGGACTGTCTTTGGTTGAAATCCATGTCTAGATAAAATCTTAGATGAGAACTACTTTTGTCATTTTATTTATTTTCTTTCATTATTATGTTGATATGTATTATTGTTCTTTTTTTTTTTTTTGGCAAAACCCCAAACCGGGGTTGGGACGCCACCCCTCAAAGCTTTATTAGAAATAAACCCTTACAAGTTTGGAGCGATCACACTCTTACATAGCGAATGTAGGGGTACTGCCTAGAGTCTAGCTTACAGAGGCCTGTTGTGAGTGTAGGAAGAGAGAGGGCATCAAAAACCTTCGAGTCGCAAGATGAAACCGCCCGTTTTGCAAGGCTACCAGCTGCAGCATTGGTTTCTCTGTAGCAATGTGTTAATTCAAAGGAAGCTTGACAAAGGGCTACTCGAGCCCTAGCTATCACCTCATCAATGCGTCAGGGGCACCTGCGTTCCCCATTAATGACATTTAGTAGAACAAGAGAATCCAGTTCCACCTTTATGTACTGCATACCCAAGGAGATACATAAATGTAAACCCTCAAGAAGAGCCATGGCCTCTGCTTGCAAATTTGTCCGAAACCCGTAAAAGGAGGAGAAAGCACTAAGGACGTGGCCATGCTGATCGCGTATAATGCCCCTCCCGCCAGAGTTTCCAGGATTACCGCTTGAAGAGCCATCAATATTGAACTTGACGTAAGATGCAGGAGGCGGAGCCCATGCAAGAGATAGGACTTGCATAGATTTTGCCTTTTTAAGAAAAGGAACAACTCCCCGTTTCAGAAGCCGATCATCGTCCATGCATGCCAAGGAGAGAGGGTGAGCAAGAGCCACCAAATGTATCAAACGCAGGATCTGGCGCACAACATGAGTTGCCGACGGCGTAGTAGCAACGAAAATGGCCCGATTACGTGCCTTCCAAAGTTCCCAGCAGATAAATAAGGGGACAATGTGTGACAGCTTTGCCATGGCAGATTTACCTGAAATGTTGCTCCACCAGGCTTGAAGTTTCAGTATGATATCATGATGAGAAGGTGCCCGGATGTCTAGCAATTGTTCCAGCTTTCCCCACACTTGGGTTGCCAAAGAACATTTCACAAACCAATGGGCTAGTGTGTCGGTACTTTCGCAGTAAGGGCACTTGGAGGGTAAATTAAAGCCCAACCGCTGCAAAATGTCAGGGAAAGACAGAATGCAATTAAGCAGTCTCCACATGAATACCGAAACTTTCAGCGGTATGCGTTTATTCCAGAGCAACACGCGGGAAGGCATTGGGAGAGAGTGATCACGAAGGCTCTCCAACGCAGAAGATATTTGGAAGCCCCCATGCGAAGTAGGACACCAGATTAGGCAGTCAGGAGCAGCTCCCGGACTGAGCCGCACCTGTGAATGGTGAATACGCGACATCTCCTCGCTGGAAAGGCTCACCTGGTCCAAGTGCCAAATGTTTTCGTGCAATACATCCCGAAGGCAGAGGTTCGGGGAGGGGACGTGCAAGCGATGCTTGCCCAACAGACCGGAGCCGATCCAGTTGTCATACCAGAAGGAAGCACTCCTATTCTTAATCAAGGTTTGCGAATGTTCCTCAACGAAGTCCCTAACTCGCAACATTCTCTTCCAAACAGCTGAGCTTGTCTGGCTGGCAGGAGCAGTGGTTAGATGCTCCGTGACTGCGACATGTTTCGCACGCATAAATCTGGTGCACAAGGTATCTGAAGTGCGCATTTTCCACCATAGCTTGCACCCAAAAGCATCCTGGACATCCTGTAAACGACGGAGGCCTAGGCCATTTTCTTGGGTAGGCTTACACAATGCTTGCCATTTCCTCCAATGACGCTTGTCACGTCCCTCAACCTCTCCCCAAAGGAAAGTGGACATTAGTTTTTCAATCCTCTTAATCACGCCTCGCGGGAGCTCCGAGACGGCCAGAGTGTAGATGGGTATAGAAGATAGCACATGCTTAATGAGAATTAACCGTCCCCCTGGCGACAGGAGCCGGTTTTTCCATCCAGCCAACTTAGCCTGTATCCTATCAATCAAAGGCTGAAAATGCTCCATCCTCCTTTTTCCTTTCATAAGCTTGCATCCCAAGTAGACAAAAGGAAGTCCCCTATATTGAAAGCCGGTTCTCCGAGCTAGAAGCCTTTTAGCCGCCAGAGGACACTTCGGAGAGATAATGTAGAAACTTTTATCCTTGTTCACTCGCTGACCGGAGCTGTGTTGATACAACTCCAAGAAGCCCATGAGAGACTGCACCGAGCGCTTGTCCCCCCGAGTAAAAATGACTATATCGTCTGCAAAAGCCAGATGCGATATCGTCGGGCAGTGGCGGCCCAAAGCAAAAGGCTGTAACTTCCGCTGCAGAGCCAAGTTATTAACCCCTCGGCTTAAAGCTTCAGACACCAAGATGAAGAGGAAGGGGGATAACGGGTCGCCTTGCTTCAATCCCTGCTTAGCTTGAAAGAAACCATGAGGTCGACCGTTGACCAATATTGAAAACCATGCAGATGTGAGGTTGTTCATAATTAAAGAGACAAAGTGGGAGTGAAAGCCAAATTGAAGCAATAATCGGGAGAGGAAATCCCACGAAACTCGATCAAAAGCTTTCATCATGTCTAACTTGAAAATGACGTTGTGACCCCGGGCCTTCTTGTCTATGGAATTCACCAGCTCCTGGGCAAGCAAGATATTATCAGCGATATCCCTGCCACTGACGAAACCCGATTGCTCAAGAGAGATAATCGTTGGGAGAACAACTTTTAAATGGTTGCTCAGGATTTTGGTGAATACCTTGTTGATAAAGTTGCACAGGCTTATGGGCCGGAAGTCCGCAAAAGAATGCGGAGCCTCCTTTTTAGGAAATAGGAGGATCAGAGTGCTCGCTATTCCCTTCGGGATTGGGACACCGCACATGAACTCCCGAGTAGCTTGGAGGACATCCTGTGCAATTATATCCCAGTAGCGCTTGTAAAAATTACCCGAAAATCCATCACAACCCGCTGCACTTTGGCCATCGAGTTCAAAGACAGCTTGCCGCACTTCCTCTAGCGTAATTTCCTGGATGAGTTGCGCATTCTGATCTGGGGTAACAAGAGGTGGGATGGCCTCTAGCAGCCTGCAAATAGCAGTGTTGTTTATTGGTGAAACCTCCGCTAACAGCGATTGAAAGAAAGCCACTGCCGCTGTCCCAATGTCATCTGCACTTTCAACAACCTCACCCTCTAAATTGCAGATCCTGGTGATCGAGAGCTGTGCCCGCTTATCCAACAGGTGGGAGTGAAAATACCGAGTATTTGCGTCGCCCTCCCTCAGCCACTTCACTCTGGCTTTCTGTTTCCAGAAAGTTTCCTCATCAGTTAGGTGTTTCAGCAGTGCAGCCTGGGCCTGACTCCATTGCACTCGAGCCTTATCCGAATCTGTCACCTCAAGTTGCAACTCCTTTAGCCTTACTTCCTCCTCAGCTTTGGAGACTTTCTCGAAAATATTACCAAATACATCTTGGTTCCAAGTACGCAAGGCTTGCTTTAAACATTTCAATTTGAGGAAAAAAATGAAACATTCCATATCCATCTGTCGGTTGATCCCAGCACTGGCGAACCACCATGAGGAAACTGTGGTGATTTAGCCACATGTCTTGGAAGCGAAACGACTTCGGCCCAGTGGGGAGCCCTGGGGAGAGTTGCAATAATTGTGGGCTATGGTCTGAGGTAGCGCGATTAAGATGTTTCACTACGCTGCCAGAGAAACGACGTTGCCATTCCAGATTCATCAGGAGTCTATCTAAACGCTTCCAGATTCTCCTGCCTTGGCGGATACCAGTCCAAGTGTAACGACTGCCCGAGAAGGGAATCTCTTTGAGACCACATGCAGATATACATTCAGCAAACTCAGCCATTGCGGTCAAGTCTTGTGCAGCCTGTCCGGCATATTCATCAGCAGCAGCTACAACATTGAAATCGCCTCCTACAAGCCACAACTTAGTTCCCATATCCTCCGATATTAATCCCAGGGCTGACCATAAGGCGCGACGTTCACCTCGCGAGCATTTGCCATAAACAAAGGACCCGTGAGCAACAAAGTTCCAAGAATCATGGCAAACTTGCATGTGAATAAGTTGGTCATTGTTTACTAAAACATTTACAGCAAAACCAGACCGCCACATTACCCATATTTTATTGGAGGAGTTACATACCCCAAGGTGAAAGCCAAAACGGGACGTAAAATCATCTAGCTGACCAGCATCAACCATCGGCTCGATGATGACTAGAAAAGTTACTGAATGTAAACGTCAATCATATGTATTTTTGTTCAAGTAAGTTCTATTCCCAGTGTACTACTCTGCAAGGGATGAGTCTTTTAACTAAGGTTTTATCTTGCAAAGTAGTTTTTCTTGTTCAGTTTCTATTTGCTCTTTTAAATTCAATGAAATGAACGATCTCTGTTTATCTTTCTATTATTTTCTAATTGTTCATTATATGTGTTTATTTATTTTCAGGTGGCCAAAAATAAAACTTTTTGATTCTTCAGATATCACCATTCTGGAATACGATGATTACCTTGATATCTCTCACAAATTTAAAATTATAGAATCTAAAATTTAAAACAAGAGTGATAGGAGTCTATTTCAAAGATTCTTGAACAATATGAAAAGAAACCCAAATTGAATCTAGAAGAGACAGAAATCATTAACATTGGTACTAAAACGGAGGTTAAAGAAATCTAAATCAGTGTACATTTGAATAAGAAGCAGAGAAAGGATATGATTGAATTCTTAACTTTATTTCAAGATATATTTACATGATCGTATGATGATATATTTGAAATTTCTACAGATATAGTGGTCCATCGATTGCCAATCGATCCAAATTTTTCAATAGTAAAGTAGAAACCTCGCAAGTTCAAACGAGATATGAATCTCAAAATAAAAGAGCAAATTGAGAAGCAGCTCAATACCAAGATTATCATGGGTTATATAACATTGTACATTTCACAATATAATAACTCACTCCATATAAAAGGATACAAGCTACTTCTGGGAGTCATTTCAATATCACTGCACACTCTGCCAAAATCACTGCACAATCCCCTACATTTATTAATCAGTTCAATAATCTCCAAACTTCAGGGTAATACTCGAGTATACCGAAACGCTTACCCAAATCTACCATCCTACCTGACCAAGCCCTTTGCTGGCTCGAATAGTCCGTTGAACAGAGGCTTTTGGGGCCCAGTTTAGCCGGTGTGGTAACGTACACATATGGCTTACATTCATGCACACTTACAGTAACACTTAGTCAATTATCAACCTTCAATCTCAATAAACCGAGTGCGATAAAGTACACCCTCGACTTAGAACGCGAGGGACAATTGAGATACAATTTACAATGAATCGCTACCAATATTCCATAATAAGCACATTTATCACATAACATCACTTAAGTAAATCATAAGCAGTTTAGACACACAAATCCAGAAACACTCACCTAGTCAAACAAGTTGCACTTCGGTCCCGAGATTGCTTTCCCGCCCACTAATAGTTCTTAGTCAAACAAGTTGCATTTCGGTCTCGAGATTGCTTTCACGCCCACTAATAGTTCCTGAGACAAATTTCAAGTACTATAGTTATGGTATAATTTTAGGAATAATCACTAAGTGCTGTTACTTTCATCCCCAATCCTGATTCTAAGTTGATTATACTATGTTTAATCGTTAGAAGGTACCCAAAGTACATATATCGTTCACTTTAGTATAGTTTAGTCAGGTTCAAGCACAATAATATTGTATAAAATCTACCTGACAACTCAAGTCAAAAACCAAAATTAATTAAAGTTAAGGTTTAACCTTAAAGGTGGAATAATTGTCCAGGTTCACTTCTTCCATTTCCCTTTGCGCAAAGCCTAAACTTTCTTATTTAGATCAATTGAAAGCTCTCATTCAACTCCATGGCTACTATTTATAATGTCAATTATACAACATATATTGCTAGATTAGAACATTGGATGATGCCTAAAGTAATTTTTAACCAAGGTTATCAAAACTCTTGGCAAGAAAACGGAAAATTTCCAGGTTTAGAGTTTCCTCCAAAAATTAGTCTTTTATAGCTTTGAACTTAACAATTGCCACATGCATGTTTAGATAAAAGAGGTAAATGGTACATAAAGTGAGTTTTGACCAAAACCAACAAAACTTTGAAGTTAAAGCTGCAACCCTTAACTCTACTCCAATAGTCCTCAATTATCAATCATGACCGGAATTTTCAGCAAAGTTCCCTCAATGCCAACACTTATTTCACTTGGATTCAAGTCCACTGCTAGATGCATGTCAATGTTAATGTATTATAAGGTGTAAACAACAACATTATGCAATTTTCAGTCGAAATTCATAGAGAAAACAGAAAAATTCTTCCTCATCTCTCTCTTGGCCAAAGCTGGAAAAATTCCAGCAAGCTTTCTTCAACAATTTCAACCAAGTTTGCCAATGATTCACTAGTTTCAAAGGCAAAATATCTTACAGGACAAGAGATGAAACATATATCATGCATTCCTAGTGAAATTTCTTCCAAGTTTTCGAATGAGCAGCTGCGAAACTTCAGCTCTCCTACCGTCAGCCAAAAACAGAAATTTCCAGCAATGAATCAGTCTTTAAATAGAGTTTTCCCTCTCAAGTTTTTTTTCACTGAACCTTTTCTCTTCAAGTGAAATTCTGCGTGCATGACAAGATAAAAGAACTAGAGTGTGTGTGTGTTGCATGCAATTGCATCTTAACAGATTTTGTGAGAAATAACCACAACACTGCAGATGGTTTTCATGCAGTAAGTTCAGCCCCATTAATTGAATTTTCACCAAAGAAACCTTTTATACAACCATAAGTACAGCATACACAAGGTACATAACATGATCTTCCAGTCAATTTCCACCAAAATACCCAGTCAAAACTAGAAGATTCATCATCGGCCAAGCTGGAAATTTTCCAGTAGCCATGCAATCCTCTAAACAAGAATTCCAGCCACAAAAGTTAAGCTTTTCACCAAAAAAATCTTACATGCATCACCCTATAAGCATTATACAGGACATAAAGCGTGGATTCTAGTCATAATCTAGCAAAATTTTTGGAGTAAAGAACCAAAACTGCAGCTTTTCCCTCTTGTTTTACTGTCCAAAATTTTCCAGTTTTGAGATTGCTTTAAAAGTCAATCTTTTCTTGCTTTTAACTCCTCAAATACCACATGAATGACTAGATTAGGGAGATGACTGATATAAGTTTCTAACCAAACTAATGAAATTTTGTGGAGATAAAGTTGGAAATCACAGTTCATCACACACAGTTCAGGTTGGAAATTTTCAGCAAATTTTCTTCAATTTTCTCACCCAAAACAGCACCTTTCTTACCTACTTTCAACCTTAAGTCACATACCAATATGCTTATAACATAGAGTGAAGTAGTAATCATGCATTTTACAGCAAAAGTCAACAAAAATTGCAACTAGAAACCGAAATTGCATAGTTCAACTCTCAGCTTTAGCCTGGAAATTTCAGCAACCATGAAGCACACGTGCATCCCATATTCTCACCAAGATTCATTTACCAAAAGGAGTAAAAGATTCTCTAGCAACTTGCAACATAATATAAACCAAAAGCTAGAAGGAAACAAGCTTCCTTAGCTCGCCCCAAGCAGGAAAAATTTCCATAATTAAATAGGTTCTTATCACTAGTTTTTTTGCTTCAATCAATCCCCAAACCAAGCATGCATCCAAATTTCTCTAAAGTATATGAAAAAATTGAAGTTTCTAAGTCATGTTACCTTATATTTTTTTCCTACAAAACAAGCTAAAAGTTAGCTCTCCTTTCTTTTCTTTCTCCTTGGTCCAAGCTTGAAGAACAAGTAGCTTCCTCTCATCCTTCACTCACTAACTCTCCCGGCTGAGCAAGGAAACAAGCCACTAAATTTCTTCCCAACTTTCTCTACTTTAACTTGGCTGGAACAAGGACGCGAGCCTCTACATTTCCTCTCTACTCTCTCTCCTTTCTCTCGGCTGAAACCGGAAGCAAGATACCAATTTTTTTTTCTCTCCACTCTCTCTACTTTTCTCTCGGCTAGATAGAGCAAAACAAAGGGAAACTTTGGCTAATGTTTCTCTCGGCTAAAATGGAGTAAGACAAAGGAAAATATGGGCTAAAGAGGTTTATGTCTTATGCATGTATTGGCACTTGGCACATAGTCATCATCCACTTGTCAAGCATGCAAAAATTGTCCATAATTATTTGAATAATTACCCCATATTTCTATAGTAACATGTTATGTGCCTACTAATTTTCTTATTCTAGTTAGTGTTAATTCCTATCAGGGTTGATCCTACACTAATTTAGGGTACAATTAGGCTATTTAATCACAAGAAACAAGTAAACTTAAAAGTTAAATAATAACAAGCAGATTGTAGTACTTTCAAATTCTAGATGAAAATATAAATTACGCCGATAATTTTTCGGGCTCTCACAATATGCTTCTTTAATTCAATTTCAGTGGACTAATCATGTGTACTGTATGACACCCCAAATTTTTGTGTAAGAGGAAGAGAATGTGACGACCTAAATTCTTGCTATTTTTACTTTATTTTAACATAGTTGCACCTCAATTTTTTGATTAATTAATGATTTGAAATGATTTTTTCATTTGCATAAATTTATTGTATTTTTAAATTTTGTATTTTGTTTCTTCGAATACATTTTCTTTAGTTTAACTCATTGCTTTAATTACTTAGATATTTTTATAAGTGAATCAAGTTTTTAAAACATTTTTCTTGTATAAGGTAGTACATGATAAGTTTGAAGTGCATTAAGGTGGTGGAACCCACTAAGATGTTACGTGCGTTAAATTTTTGAAGTATGGTGGAAGTGTTGTGCCAAGGGACATTATTTATGATGTGCTAAGGATATATATTAGCTTAGATGATGCCACTTGTCGCTGTAGTATTAAGTCTTGTTTAAGACTTTGACTAGACCAACTTAAACTTATCTCTTAAGCCTTTGTTTTGTCTTCATTTCTTCCATTTCCCTCCATGGTTGGCGGAATGTGGGAGAGAGAAAAGAAGAGAGAAAAGCTTCATTTTCTACTTCCATTTTTGCTTCGATCTTGAAGTTGTACCATAAAACTAACAATCTACTCCATAAAAAGTGGTACTCAAGGAAGATTGAAGGTCTTGGTGGAGAGATTTTGGAGTGTTAAGCTAGGATTTGCTATCTTCAAGAAGGT